CCTCCACACATGCTGGTAGACATTCAGAAGATCGGAGCCGTTCTGTTGGTGATGCAGTCGAACCGAGAGTACTCTGCCTTGCCTAAGAACCCTGTAACTAACATTATCTTGCTTGCAGACATTCTGATGAATCAGAGTGGCAACTCCTGAGCATTTGTCTTTGCCTGTAGCCCCTGAGGAGACGACGAACCAGGGGCCGGACGAGAAAGTGCGGCACCCCTCCTGTTTCCAGTGTGTTTCTTGCACGAACACAATGTCAAAGTCATCTGGTTTCTCACTTAACCATGACATGAGTTCTTGCCAGGCCGCCTGCGACCCCCCGCTCATGTTCCAGGTGAGACATCTAAGGTGAGATGCTTTGTCAGATTTGGGATGCTTTGTGGGTTTAGCCGGCCGGTCATTCGGCCCCAGCTGGTGTATGCCCCCTGTGGTTTTTGTCAGTGTTTCCCTAGTGTACCATCTGCCCTTATAGTGAGTGCCGCCTGTGGCATAGGCTCGTGCGCGAGCTCGTCGCAGCGATCTCTTGGCGATCCACCCGATGCTGTTGTGGTGATTACGTATTGCCTGGCCAGTGTCTTCGCCCATTCTATTGGACTGTTGGGGCCGATGTTGTGTGGCTCCCACCACGGTACTGGAACCCGTGGTAACCCTCACGTCTGCTCGACCCCCATTTGCTGTCACGAAGCTTCCACAAAGGATAAGAATCCACATCCAGAAGAGACTTCGAAAGCTTGGGGCCCAGCCGCTGGACTTGGGACCAGCGCGGCTCGGTGATGTGCGTCTGGCGGGCTCACCCCTCTGTGTTGTAAGTATTTTAGTAGTGCACGTGGCATGTGTGCTGATGATGTAGGGTCTCCTTCTGTAGCAACCTCTGATTCTCCTGGTGCAGAGCCATTTAGTTAGTCTATCTCTTTGCAACGATAGAAGCCTGCCTGCATAACCATACCCACCGACCAAAAACACTCCCAGCAGAAGAATGTGTCCCCATCTTAACCTAGCGTACTGACTCTCGGGACCTGGGACATCTCGTCGATCATAGTCCTGCAGCAGAGGCGAGGGGTTGGTGCGTATGCATTGGGTAGAGGAGACGGTGCAACGGATGCGATGATGCAATACAACCCCCGTGTATGCTCTCTGAGCTGCAGTGCGGTCTTGGTCACGGTCGCTGGGGGCCGAAGATCGGCTTCCCCTGGGGGACCGGAAAGAGTGAGACCGAACAATGGCCTGCATGACGATGTCAGCTGCCGGTGGCCCCTCTGAGCCAAAAACTTCTTCTCCCGATGCCAGGATCCTGACGGCCTTTATACAATGCGGGGCCAGCTTGCCATCGGCACCCCGGGTTAAGTAGTAGCCGTTCATTGAACGGAACCAAACGGCCCCCGATTCTTTCGGGGAGAGTATGATTGCGATGTCACAATGCGCGGGGTAATTCCGATATTCACTTCTGTCTACTGAAACACAATGAATGTGTGTCCGGGACTGGGAGAGGCCTCCCGTGATGACGCCCTTCGCCAAGATCGAGCCGTAGAAGTCCCAGTTGGTTGCATGGAGGACGTACTCCGGCAACTCGGCATCCCCAAGGGGCCGCATGACCGCTTCATCACGTAGTCCTTTCTTGGAGTGACCTTGAACCGCCCTGATGTAGAGATCGGCACCGCGCCATTCGAGCGCGAAGCGTTGCTTGTCGTTCCAGTAGACCACCGAGCGGATGTAGTTGAGGGTTGCCCCCTTCTCCTTCATGATGGAGGTGCGTAAAAGGTCTGACACCTTGGTCCACCCTGCCTCGTCGAACGTCAAGCCGAAGTCTTCAGAGTCGTGCCTCAGAACAACTGACAGTCTTTTGGAGAGAGACTGATCCAGTTTCCAGTAGAGCTTCGTCGGCTCCCCAAGGGGGGCCGAATCGCGTGCTGGCGTGGGCAGAGAGGTGCCATCGCTGCTGGCGTAGGTCGTCTCCGTGTAGATGTTGTATCTCTCGACCCTGCGCGGGGAGTGGGGGATGCTGCCAGATTGATTTGGTGGCGTTTGCCCCGTAGGGTAGTCAACCTCCATCTCCACATAGGCATCAGATGAAGCCGGCTCGGCAGTCCGGGTTGCAGGAGCCGTGTTTCCCATGTGCTTGGAGGTCCTGTCCGTCATGTCATCATCTCTGCTGTCCTGGCTGGTTTGGTCCTGAATTGCCACTCGGACAATTTGCTCATCATCCTTCAGTTGCGCGGCGGGGAAGTAGTAGTCGAACTTGATTGCCAGGTCTTGATGACTATCGAACCAATGGATTTGTTCATGCAGCGACATGGGGACTCCCTCAAACAGTGCGATTACGCTGTGCAGCATGCCGGCGAACTGGGTGAGGATGGGCTCGAAGTCCGCATCTTTTGACAGGCTCCATAGCCAGCATTCCACTGCCGTGCCGAAGGTGGAGTGGTTCGCGTAATTGAGCTTGTCTCTGGAAATCAGGCACATGACAAACGCAAGGTTCCAATTGCCTGCGGCCGGGATGATCTTCAGGGACTCCGAGTGGTGGAAGTCGTCATGATGCTTGACGAAGTGCCCCATTTCGAAGAAAGTTTTGAACGTGAGGGCGACCTTTTTCTTGCGCAGGACATTGATGTCATCTTCGATGATGGCCAGCAGGTTCCATTTCTCACGCACGGCTCTCAAGGATTGTGGGGGCACACTGTCTCGGGCAGGGGGGACGAACTGCTTGAGGCCCTCGGAGACATGCTGGGCAGGGGCCGGGGGTACGGCTCCCTCTGTGGTAGGCCTCCTTTGCTCGCTCGAGCTGCTAGCCTGCTGTCTCTTCTTTGGCGATGCCGGTGGGTCTGGCGGTTTCTGCCGGAACCACCATTCTCCCTGCCACCAGATCTTGAGGTAGCCCTCGTCGTCTTCCGTCGCATGTACTTCGTGCCGGTCACTGGTGTCAAACTGGTAGTCCTCGTCGTCTTCGTCCTCCTCGTCGTAGTACCAGTCCTGATGTTGATCCCGGGGCCGAGCGTCGGCTCCCCGCGCATTCTGCCAGTGTGGCTGTCGGCTCTCGCGATCGGCCGCTTGTCGCCAGGGCTGCTGATTCATCTCCTGAGCACGGGGGGCCGCAGTGTCGGCTCTCTCCCTTTGATTGCCAGGGGCATTGCGGCGGGCACTGCGGGCAGCCAGTTCATTGCGGGTGCGCCTCCTAGTGCCGTCGGGCCTGACCCGAGCTCGGGGATATCGATGCCACTTTTGATCTGACATGCTATCGGCAAAGACACCATACATGTATATGCTGATGCAATCAGGCGTGGCGTGCATCATGTTCCTGCAGCCCGGCAACCACTCTACAACACGGATCTCCTTTCTCGCATTCAGAAACCCCGAGGTCCTCCCACAGGTGCTTTGTGTAGGGCCGAATACGGCACCCGCAGCTCTTCGGTTTGAAGTGACCTGGGCAGATAGTCCGGGTTTGGGGCAGGTACGACATCTGCGAGTGTCAGGCAATGGGAGTACAGTCGGGTGCAGGGCCATGCATTCTGCTACACCGAGTTTCCCACTTCGGGTACACTGCACCTGGGATGCGAGCATGTTGAGGATTTGACTGGGTATCAGGGCTGGCGTTCCGTGCCGAACATAGCTAACTGCGACAGGGCACATATTCCACATATGTCTACGGTGAGGCCCTCGAAGAGTTAAGGAAGGCCTTCGGTAGATGCCTCTAACAAGCATCAGTTTCGGCCTGCAAGGTCTCACACTTAGCGAGAAGTTCTGCAGCCTTCTTGCGCCTCTTCCTAGGAGGTAGGCTTCGAATGTCTCCGAGAAGTCTGGTGATAAGGCCCGCACATGAACCTGTGGAAATTGCGTATGCCACAGCATTGCTCGATATGCCCACCTTGCGACCCTTAGGTTGTGGTGGCGGCTCTGAGTCTGTCGAAAGTGAATCATCGGTGCCCGGTCCTTGTGCAGGGCTGGAGGATTGACCTGGGCCATCGGCTTCCCCAGGGCTGGGGCCGATTGTGGGACTGTCGGTCCTGTCCACTGGGAGCGTGTTTGTCTCATGTGCGGAGCTCTCTGATTCGCTCCAGTCCAGGAGCCCTTGCGCGCTCCTCGGCACTCCATGGATTCTGTCACTTGAAGAGGAACTAGCGAGCGGTGGTGATGAGAGCTGCAATGGGGGGGGCAAAGATGGAAGCTTCGGTTGTTTTTGGGGGGGGGTTGGGGCTTGGGGTCCTCTCTTATTTCGTGCGCTGGCTTTGGAGCTGGCTCCCCTAGGGGCCGTTGACTGCACGTAGTGGGATCTGGCCGACCAGTGCGCCTCATGGCACTGTCGTAGGCGGGGATGCATCTGCGGCAAAGGATGACTGTGAAAATCAAGTGCAGAGCTAGATTCATGGTTTGTCTGAGATCAGGCTGATAAGAGTCTGTGCAAGTTGTTGCTCAAGTGCTACACACAACAACGGGAACCTGACAGAAATGATGGCCACCAGCTGAAGTCCCTGTTCTCTCGGTAGAACCTCAAGGATCGCTGGCACAAGTTCGTCTGCAGTATCCTGATTCCACAGCTGCCCTGCGAGGTCCAAGGCACTGTCAATGTCAATAGTGTCTTGACTATTCAGCAAGCAGTCTGCAACCAGTTCCAGAGCCACAACGCGAATCTGAGTAACAGGCAGAATGGCTTCTAATGGTGAGAAGAGTACAGAAATCACCGAAGGGGCACTACGGTCTGCTAGTGGGGGCTCGCTATACGAAACGCTGAGAGCCGAGACGCTTTAGTATTGCCCTAACAAGCTTAAGATGCCCTAAACCCTAAACCCTAAACCCTAAACCCTAAACCCTAAACCCTAAACCCTAAACCCTAAACCCTAAACCCAAAACCCAAAACCCTAAACCCTAAACCCTAAACCCTAAACCCCAACCCTAAACCCTAAACCCTAAACCCCTAACCCCTAAACCCTAAACCCTAAACCCTAAACCCTAAACATCCCTAAACCCTAAACCCCAAGCAAGAGCTCCCGAGAAGCAAGGGCCCTGGCCGCGAAGCTTCCAGGCCTTGATCACATCGATTAAATTGGGGGTGGGGTAGTAGGGGGCAGAAAGCTTGCAATGTGCAAAGATACACTCATGCACAGGAGTTCTTTTGGGCACCCCAAATACATCTCTTCTTTGTCTGACACTCTGGCCGTTGGGCAGCAGTTGTCGATGACAGGCCGGAGACACCTCCGGAGGACCAAGAAAACTAGAACGAATTCAACTGGAAGCCCCCCCCTATCGGTAAGCCCGAACCCTCGTTCTGTGAGCTGGTGTGCTGCACGACTCGAAAATGCCACTGCACGGCACCAAGCCTCAAAGTCTAGACACCTACGCTATTGCAGCACGCATTGCTTGTTGATGCATGCTGATTGGGCCAGAACCTGGCGAGCAGCTGGCTTTCCTCATTAAGGAAGTCTCCAATCCCTCTCCCAGGTCGGCCCAATTTCGGGCCTGGCTTGTTGGAGACATTGGCGGGCGAATCCTTTGAAGGAACAACCCGGCAACCAGGAGAAGCAACCGTTATTCTCATGGCCATCCATGTGTCCAGAGGCTCTGGCTACGGTTTCTTCCACAGCATCCAGGGTCCCCCGGTCAATGGCCCTGGCAACACGGCAGGCTTCCACAAAACAGGCTCGCAAACTGGCAGAGCTAGCCGAGCGGCCTGTCAACCCACCCTTCCCTCAGATGGACCTCCGCAGCAAGCGAAAAATTTTGCAACAGCTGCAACATTGCTGGCAAGATGAAATCGCCTGTGCAGGTGCTGTGCTCGACGGGTGAGCATCCTTGCTCGGAGAGTTTACCGGCGTCAAACCAGATGGCATATCAATGAAAGTGTTCCTGAGATGTCACGAGAAAATTCAGCTAGCTCACTGCCATTCTGCTTCTTGCTGGCCACCCAATTCCGTCAAGCAACTTTACTGGTAGCGGCACACCCGCCTGAAGAGATCAGCTGAAGTTTGTGTTCCAACAAATGCTACCAGAAGCAAAATCTTGGATCCTGACATTCGTCTCGCCTATTGCGAGCTCATTGCTGGTGTCACCTTCACACTCGGTGCAAAACATTGTTTGAAACAACCCAAGATGTATCGAGCCCCAACTTGTTCACGCCAGGCCTTTATGCCCAAGAGCCGCATCACTCAAAGGCACCGGTCGCTTAGTAGGCATGGCGAAACCTGCAACAAGCCCACGGACTGAGAACAAAGGTACAAACATGGGACAAACATGGTACAAACATGGTACAAACATGGATGAACATCGCATGCCCGGGTCACAAGGGCCTGGCCAACTCACGCGAATGACCTTGGTTCACATCCACATCTCCTGATCTCAAAAACTCCGTCGTGAACAATCCCATACGACCCCGACATAGCGCAAAACTGATCAAGGCGAGCTTAGCCGGCAGCTGTGGAACACAACGGCCATTTGCACGACTCATGACCGTGAATCAACAAGAACTTGCACAATTCGCCTGTTGTTTGAAAAGCGTGCACTAAGCTGCTGAACCCACCAAACTTCGGAGACAACCGCCCACGAAGTACAACACACCGTGCTTTTCGAGGTCTGGGACCGGCTGCCATTGTCGTGATGCTGATCATCTCTGCCCAAGCTTGAATTTAGGCATCGGCTGCAAGTCACACAGTCACATCAAAAACCATGGGAAGGATTGGTACACAAATGATGCACAAGCAGCAAGGATGATGGGGTTATTGTGGGGTTATTATGAGGTTATTATGGGGTTGGTTTTAGTTATGGGGTTATTTATGGGGTTATTGTAGGGTTATTACAGGGTTATTGTGGGGTTAATGTGAATTCTGGGGTTGTTATGGGTTATTACGGGGCTATTATGGGTTATTATGGGGTGCCTCTGAACCGTTGTTCATGTTTGCCATGGATGTGTCAGATGGCACGCCGCAAATGGCCATGAAACCCGCGCCTCAAACGCACGCAAGCCCCATGACAAGCACAAACGATTAATGCTCGTTTGAACGATGCAACAAAGTGTCTTACTCGAGCACAGCACGAGCATTGATTTCCAGGGCTTGACGGAAATTTTGAACCGACCAGAGCGAAACTTGCGAAAAATCGGCGTTGGGTACGACCTCAGGCATCTGAGAATGACAGCCTTGTGAAATTTGATTAAACATACAAACCCAAAGACCCACAGGTGTGAGAAAGCATGTCGCGACTGAACTTTTCGCAAACTGATTTGATGCGTGTCTTTTGGGGCTGAAGTGGCGCAAAGTACAACTTACCGAAAGCAACCACGCCTGAAGAAATCAACCAAGCCATACAACTTCAAACCTCGCCGATGCAAACATTAACTAGCGTTTGCAATGTGAGAAGATACGATCTCGGTTCATTCGAAGGCCTGGACTGCAAGAGAGCGCAGTCTCCTTTTTTGCTTGAAAAACCCTGACGGGGCTCACAGCAAGAAGTTGTGAAGCCCCACCTCTTGCAGACGCGTGAACACATGGATCTCGCAATGAAAAAGACTCTTGCGCACCAAAGAAGGATTGGGTACTTGAGAGGCGGTGCTTTCAAAGACGCGCCAATGGTCGCGCCAACCTTGAGAGATGCTTGGGGTATTGCAACTTGTCGTTCACGCAAGGAGCACAAGCGCAGCGTTCCATGAACCGCAATGAGAAATAGCCATATGAGCCACGTTTAAAACAAGGCGAAGTGCCCGTGTGGAGATGCAGCAATCCTTGCACGTCGACATGGCCCTGCCACGACTACAATGCCAAGACGACTAAGCACAATCTGAAAAGTAGAATCCGGCCGTGCCGGAAAATAGTGGAGACATTGCTCTGCTGCTGCGCCAGCAGACGCATAACACGATCACGTACTACGAAACTCAACACAGCAGTCTGCAGTGTTCCCAGTTCTCGTAACCTTACCTCACTTTCGAACCCAGAAGCAAGATAGGCAACCCTCGAGACTCTCAAGACTGCAGCTTGAGGTCTCAATTTCGAACAGTTTCAGTATCGCTTTGAATGTACGAAGCGCAGCCAAAAACAAAGGTGGCACTTGTGTAGTACGTGGAGAGTGCATGACTCCACGTCCTTTCCTTGAGCCTGCAATGCCGCATTTGTTTTTGAACAGCCGGGGATGGAACTCGTCACAAAATTTTCGTGGTTTGACTTTAAACTGGTTCGCCACTGGCCCGTCATGCAACCAACCATGTGGCGGGTGCGAAAAAACTTCGATCTCCATGTTTTTTGCAGGCGCTGGCATGTGTCCATGTGCAAAAGGTCAGCACAAGTGCACAAAAAACAAGAAAAGAAGGACCAAACAAGACCGACACCCAACAAGAACACAACCAACAAACACGGGGCGCACCAAGAACAAACACTAATGTGAAACAGCGGCCATTTTCAGTAGTTTTTCGCGTTGACGTAGTCACCACATTGCTGGCATAGTTCGAATATGGATTGCCGCTTGATGTTGGCAACAAATTCAATGCTGCAAAATGCGAAGCATCGTTCAAAACCTCGAATGCATCATGGCCACACATCGTCATCAGGACGGCGCGGTGCGTGGAACTGCATGGTATCCGCTTGAGAAGTGGTGCCCCTTCGCTTGAGGCGCCGCGCAAAACTAGCCATCCGCGTGTCCAGAAGCAGCAAATGGCGGCGCCTACAGCTTCACTGGTTGCGAAAAAGCCCACCTTGCCAAATGCCCCACGCCAACACCCAACGGGAAGAGGCTCAGCCCATGGAAGAGGTGCACAGGGAAGACTGCCATGATGCTGAAAATTGGGATGAGCCCAGCGGCGCCACACTGCCGGCCACATCTCGCATCCGAGCACTCGCCCCTCCTGGAGTGAGGTGGCGTCCGACACCTCGTCCAGGAAAGCGCACCGACAGCGTCTGTTGCGGCATCGACATCCAGTACCCCCACGGAGGTGACAACCAAATGCGGCTACAAATTGCGCCCGCTACAAGTGGACACCCACGTTGACAGTGCGTCAAATGCACTCTCAAGGACGCGGAGCAGACGGATTGCTTGTTGCCGATCACATGGATCTGTCGGCTTTTGGACCTAATCGGTGAGTCCTTTTGATGGAGTGCAAGACTTCTTGCAAATTCCCACCGCTGCACCTCGACTCGACCTCTGAGAGAGCCGTCTCACCGTTGGATGCTTCGCTTTGTCGGGTGTGGTGTGTTTCTTTGCTTTGAAAAAAAACGCAACTCATCCGCGCTTCCGACGATAACCCGAAGTAAAGCAGCTGGGGCCAGGTCAAGCAGGTGTTTCGGGTTGCAAATTGCTTTGGCAGCTTGCAAAGGAACTCTTCACAACAGCGATACGCCCGTATTTGGTTCCGGTGTAGTGAAGGGAAAAGTCTTTCAACACCAGGTAGCTGGGTGCAGGCGGGGCAGGCCGGCAACAGGGTCAACCCTGCCACTGGCCTGTTTCGCCAGTGGGGCGGGGAAACATTCAGTTGCAGAAGACGATCTGCAGCTCTAGACTCTTCGCGTCCAATTGTCACGTGAAGGAAAGCAGTATCTTTCTCAAACCAGCGGACGATTCGACCTCAGCGGCAGTCGTCAGCCGGCAAACCTGAACGAGCGGTGGTTTTATTGATGATGCTTCTAATGGAAATCTGTTTCCTTCCGCGGAACCCTTCCGCGAACCGTGAAAACTTGAAGGTCCCTCTGGTACCTTTTCCCTTGAAAGCACGAACCCAAACCTATCTCAACCAAGTGCGGACACACTTTTTTCTCGCAGGCCTTGAGCCAAAAGTCACGAAGTGCGCAAACTAAACCGAATTCACACGTGAGCTTAAACTCAGCTTCAGAACAAAGTTCCTACACACTGCATACTCACTCAAAGTAGCGTATTGGGTAAAAACATACACTCGCATGATTTCCTAGGGAAATCATCGAGGCAAAAACATCGAGGATGGGATCACAAAGATTCCCAATCACTCCGAAGCAAAACAAAACTATACAAGCTGATCCAAAACATGACAAAACCGTCAATGTTCAGCCACGATCTTCCACCCCCCGCATTTTGCTGAGGGTTCATGCCAAAGATCCCAAAGTCCAAGCATAGCTCGGCACTTCAACACTAAGGGGATGCCCTGGCCACATTCCCTTGGTGCGTACTCGCCACCAAAGCGAAACAAACAACACACCAGTCGATCTCTGACATAAAACTTAAAACTCATGCAAAATCCCACCATAAGGCAGGTTGTCCTGAGTCCAACTGGCACCCAAGAGTTCGTTGTCCAAACTCGTGACAAACTAATTCAACTTGCATCATGAGTACTAGACAGGGCTGTCTTGGAACATCTCCAAGAGTTCGTTGTGACAAACACGTGAACGAATTGATGCAAGTCTCCGGCTCACCCACTTTCAGTACTCGACTTCGACTGGTCATAGCCTTCAATCTCGCAAACTTTCCAGGAAAACAAGCTCACTGGCTAGCATCCTCTGGCAGAGCTCCAACAAAACACGGCCGTCCTTCAGCATCGCGCTTAGCGCGGACTTTCCACCCTCTGAAAAACCAAACTCAAATGCACTGACCAGGGTTTCCAATGGAAAAACGCGGACGGTATGGCATCTTCTGCACCTGAGGTGAGAACGCACCTCAATCCGTGTCCTCGCCTTCCACAGCATCTTTCTTTTCTTTCTCAACTTTCTCCTTCTTAACATCCATCATCACAGCAATCCCTTCCTTTCGCTTTCTCTCAGCTTCTTCTCGATCCTGCTGATTCACAGCTTCCTTACATCTCTCTCAACCCCTTTTTCTTAGTCTCAATTTGCTGATTTCTTCGCACATAATAATCTGCCACACCTGCTGCCACACATCCGAGGGCATCATCAAGTTGAATATCTCCACGTAATAACCATGCTTCTGGTCTTACTTGGTCACTTTATTCCAACCATTCTGTTTTCTCTTTGTTCTGATCGGAACTAACAACTCCAATAGTTGCCGTAGACGTAAAACTCCAACGCGGCACTGGTCGGTTCTCTTGACCAATGTCGGATCGTGAATTCTTTCGTAAGGCACAAAAGCATTAAAATCGCCCGCACCCCCATGATCTTTGCAGCAGTTGATCCAAGGTGATGCGCAGCGTCTCTATCTCGTCTTTCAAGCACAGCTTTGGCACTTCCGCGTCCGTGCGTTCCATGGTGGTCAGCCACTGGAACTTACAAGTG